AAATTATTTATCATAAATTTAAATATAATTTACATGTTTAAAAATTACTAGTTATACAAATTTTAAATATAATTTATACATTCACACATAGTATTTTATTCATACATATTATTTATTATAATTTTATTTATATATAATCAACATTTAACTAGTGCATTGTAAAGTTAAAATATTAGTTAATATTTTTTATCTGTCTCTTTCTATTACATCAATTATTTTATCTCAGAGTATTTCTTTCTTTCTTTTTATTGTACTTTTTACAAAAACACTCTCTATATTTAAATTAAAATAACTATCTTAAATAATTGTATTTGTAAAAATTATTTTTAACCAGAATATTTTTAATCATTTTCTTTCTATAAGAACGTTTTAAAGATTTTTTTTCTTAACTTTTTAATATTTTCTAGAATAAAGTTTTAAAAAGAGGGATCAATTTATCATTCTTCATTGTTTATATATCATTACTCAAAAAGGAGGGATCAATTATTCAAATAGTTTAAGAAAAGTTTAATACATCTTTTGTATTCAATTAGTTCCGTAAACTAAAATATAAAAAAAAAAATTGTAATTAGATTTTTCATATTTTTTTAAAATTTAGTTTTTGATTTTAGAAATTCATTTATAATCTATTAAATTTTGTAAAATATTTTTTATATTCTCATACTTGATAATTAACTCAGATTATTATTTTATGTCATCATTTATATAGATCAGGTTTTGATACTTTTTCATAAAAATGTTTATTATTTCAAAATTCTCAATTTTTATTTATTGATCTAATATCATAATTTTAAAAAAGGAAATAAATCTCTAAAATAAGTACAAATTTTTAATTGTAAACAATATCCTAAAAACAGACAATATCATTATATATCTTAATAATATTTTAAAATTTTGAAATTAAAATTTTGAATTATATTTTCAGTAATTCATTATTTAATTAAAATCATAGATTTTTGTTACAATCACCAAACTGTACAAATTAGAAATTTTGATTCAAGTTATACACATATTTGTTTTTAGTTATCATAAAAAAATTTCATATTAATAAAATAGTATTCATAAAATTTCATATTAATAAAATAGTATTCATATGTGCTTACAAACTCATATTTATTTTCTTATTATAATGATACCAGACTTTATTTATATCTATAGCAAGAATAATGTAAGGATGATGAGTAAGAAGCAGCCGAAACATGTATATATCCAAGGTTACCATAAAACCTCAATATTTCTAACAATTTAGATGAAATATTCACTTACTAATGCAGATATCAATGTATACAAATAAACACCAAGTAGTAATTATCTGGACACACCAGTAAAATTGTAAAATAATAATAAGTAATATTTAAAATATTAATTGGTCCACTGGTCAACTTGGTAACCTACGAACCCAGCCAGTTTAATTTGTAGATTAAATATACTGAGCTGGATAAACTTGTTTAAATAGATCAACATTTTAATTGACCATAATTAACCCACTTACTCTAAAGTTAAACAAGCCATAGTCTATATACCCACCTTTAATCCATAGTAACGTTGTCGATGACTAAATGCACATTATTGACAACTTATTATTACACTCCAAATTAAAAATCCTCAAGTATGAACAACCCATTTATTGATTAATATCCACAACTAAAACATTGATAATGAGCATTCATTTTCCAATCACTAACTATTGTTGCCATAACCTTCAATAATACTACAAGAAAATAAAATTAAAATGACTACTAATTCAACAGTCATCTTACCAAAGACGTGACCATTCATAACTTTGCCCTTTGTTGTCAGTGCTGAGGTCATGGTAAAATACAATTAGTATTATATTTTATTGTAATTTTCAATAATATTTAATTTTTAATTTGTTAACTAGTATAACAAGACTCCAAACTCAAAGTTAAAAAATTATAATTTAAAAGTAAAACTATTTAATACTTTCATAAATTTAAAATTTAGAATTACTTTTAAATTATATATATTTTTGCTTAAATAACTTTTGTAGTTTAATTTTTTCTTTTATTTTTTTTCTTGTTTTGATATATATATATATATATATATGAAGGTTCAAACGTAATTTTTACTGAGTATTACACTACTCAATAATTTTATATTAAATGTGAATTTTATAAATTTAACCGTTAAATTAGAAGTCTTTTATTCTTAGATCATATATACAAAATTTTATATTAATCTAAGATGATTTGATACTTCATTCCTATAAAATAAAATTGACATAATATATATATTTTAAAATATAATAAAATATGAACACTTTAATTACCTTCAAGTTGTTGTTCAATTTTAACAAATTTTGATATAAACATATAAAGTGATATGAAGTTATAATTCAATGATTGAATTTACAAAATTCATATTTAATATAAATTTATTGAATTATATTTATATTAAATGTGAATTTTGTAAATCCAGCCATTGAATTATAATTTCATATCGCTTTATATGTTTTATATCAAATTTTGTTAAAATTGAATAATAATTTGAAGATAATCAAAATATTCATATTTTATTATATTTTGAAATATATATTACATTAATTTTTTTTATAAGAATAAAGTATCAAATCATCTTAAATTAATATAAAATTTTGTATATATGATCTAAGAGTAAAAGACTTTCAATATAACAGTTGGATTAATAAAATTCACATTTAATATAAAATTATTGAACAGTGTAATTTTTAGTAAAAATTACAACAATGTTGTTTGAACCCTCCTTTTATATATATATACTTTGTCATTGTTAACTAATCACTGACAAAAATTATAGAATATTAATAAGCATGATGTTTCTTAAATAATATAGATTAAAATAAAAATATTCAAATATAAGAAAATTATATAAAAAAAATACAAATATTATAAGAAACTGAAATATTACAAAGATAAAAAAATTAAGTCCATACTTTCAAATTTTGAGATTTAAAATAAAAAACTAAAATAAATTTAATTACTCTTAAAACTTTTTTTTAAAAAATCATTTATTATTTTTTTTAATGATATGTGAACCCAATTCTCTTTCTAAGAAGAGGGCCACATATGACTTGTTTCTAATATGGTCAACTCAACTAAACACAGCGCCAATTTGACGAACTCGGGCGAGTCACTCGTCTAACGTAACTCGTCGCGTTTTAAAACTGGAGTGTATCATATATTTTCTTCGTTCTCTCATTCTCGTTCTCACACTCTCATGTCATGGCCTGCGAATTCCCCCTTTGAACCCCCCATTTTATCATCAGGTTCTCTCTTCTTCCTTCACGTCTTTCTCTTAACACCTTCATTGTGCATCACAAAACTTAAATTTTGTAACACGTGTGTGTATATATATTTATATATGTATGTGTGTGCAAATCATCTCAAAATATAACAACGCATCTTCTTGTATATATATGCACACATGTTTCTATGCTTTTCACGTTTCCAACACTTCCATTGAGGTTAACAAATGCTCATCCATCTTTGTTATCCATCATCATCATCATCTTGTTCCAATGTGTGTGTATATATATGTGCAGCTATGTGTGTAATAGTATCATAATTCATAGGATACCAAGAAAGAACCTTTTAAATATTTCTGTTAATTGGTGGAAATATATGGTTGTAATCTCGTGTGGGGTTGTGCTCAATCTTTGTGTCGTTGTACTTGTTATTTTTCTGGTTTCTATGAGTTTTCATATGCTTTTCCTTAGTTATGCACGTCTGAGTCTGTTTGTTTTATATTTAATTGTTTAATCTGCTAGCGTACTCGTTTGCTTTGATTGTGAACTTAGGTGTAGGGGGATCTGGGGTTTGTTATCTTATAGTTGGTTGGTGATCCAAAATTTTTCGCGTTGACAGCATTTTTCACAAAGGGTATTTTTACCCCATGCTAAGATCGCATACACATTATATGGTGTAATTGTATTTTAAGCTGTTTCAACCTGTGGAGAATGTTGTATTGGAGAAGGAATAGGGTAGGCAATTTGGCTTTGCTTTTCCGGCAAAGAGAATTGATAGGGTTTTATGTGAGTGCTTTTGGTAGCCATTGTTCAGAATTCTGTTGCTTTATCACAGTAGCAATTGATGGTTTTAATTTTAGCTAGCTTATAATTGCCTTGGCACAGAAAAAAAAAAAAAGTTTTGGAATTACTGATCAATGAAGAGTTCCTTCCCCAAAAGTTGTTCCTTTATTACATGTATTCTAACCCTGTCCAATACATTGACCTCTAAAAGCATCAGTGGGCAACAAACCAACTACAGATTGGGGTTTTAACTATACAACATACATGAATGGTTAAGATTGTTTTATCAGTTCTAATTTTAACCATCCATTTTAATTATAAGGTTGAAATTCACTCCTTTCACACTCTCATCTCTCACTTGATATTTGATAAGCTTACTATTTATATTCATATTTTTACACTTGACCAGTTTGAACTGATTCAGCAAAGTGCTAACACTCTGATCTTTTGTGCTGCCTTTCAAATCTGCCAGTTTGTTGTTACAGATTTACAGATTTATGATTTCTTAATACTCAAATAAATTGTCCATAGAGTTAATGGATAGTGCTTGAGTTTTAGAGAATTTAATAATGGTGACAAATTAAAGGTGAATGCATCGTGATATCTAATATTTTGTTAGATAGCTAAATATGCATGCATATATGGGGTTGAAAATTTAAAAAGCAAAGGAAAAGATTGGCAAAATTGCTTCTATTCCACGCATGCTAGTGGTTATCAATTCTGAATGTTGCTTTGCATAAGTGCTGGCGAGGAAAATATGAAATGGCAGGTCTGAAGCATGTTTTTGTGCATGTTATGTAATTTACAATTTCTTTATAATATTACAAGTGTTGATTGAAGTAATGAGTTTACCAGCCTATGCTACTTGGCAGATGGAATCAATTGGCCCGGATTGTGACAATATTATGGAGCATACATCTAATGGGAAGCTAATTCCTCCAAGTTCTCCAGATATAAACAACATAGTTGGAGCCCCAAAGTTCAATCCTCGAATTGGTCATGAATACCAGGTGGAAGTTCCATCCATGATAAAAGATTCAGAACTGCTTCAACTTCTAATAAATCGCACTGATTCAGAACTTGTACACAATGAAGTGGAGGATAATGAACACGAAGGGTGGAAATATCTTGGAGACAACAATGGTGCAGTCGATGTAACTGTACCTGCAGCAGCAGCAGCTAATTTGAAAAACAATGTAATATCGGATAATGGAAAAGAATTGAGACCAACCATTTCTCAATCTGTGATGACAGGAGCTCAACTCAATGAAACAAAAAATTGTCCAATGGCCTGTGGCACATTGAATGACTCATGGAGTGATGCTGATGTACAAAGTTTTCTTCTTGGTTTGTTTATCTTTGGGAAGAATTTTATTCAGATAAAAAGATTTTTAGAGAACAAAGGGATGGGAGAAATACTGTTGTTTTACTATGGGAAGTTTTATAAGTCTGATGAATATCGTAGATGGTCAGCCTGCAAGAAAATGAAAGGGAGAAAATGTATATCAGGACGCAAACTTTTTTCTGGTCGGAAGCAACGTGAACTATTGTCTCGCTTAATTCTCCGTGTTTCAGAAGAATTCAAAGATGCTTTGCAACAGGTATTCAACCATGCTTTCACTGAGAGTCCCTTGTCTTCAGTGTTGTTGATTAACTACAATGTGTACGTTTCAGTTACCTGATTATTAGCTTAGCTTGTGTCAATGCATTCTATGATGTTAATATTCTTTTATTCTCCTGTATTAATTTTCTGATTTATTCCTTGGTAAATTAAAATTTGGATGGATTTATTCCCTTATAATTTTAAAGATAACATTCTTTTAGTTCCCTTCTTTGTGTTATGTATTTTTTTTTGTGATTGAATAATTTTGTTAAGGTTAATATGGTTTATACGGTGCATTGTGTGTGTCGCTCATGTATATTGACCATGCAGTACTTGTTCATTAGGTAGACTTTACAAAAGAACAGTATATAGAGGGATATCCTGGCCCATTTCCACGACTTGATCAGGAAAAATTTAAGTTTTTAACCTCATAATGTGCATTAGGCATCAAATCAGTCCTTTTAATCACATTTTCCTTATCAGATTAATTATTAGAACTTAGGACTTCACCACGTTACCAAGGATTTTATTTACTTAATGTTGCATGCTTTGCATGTTAGATAGTGGTTATTAAAGCACAATATCTTATTTACCACTTTTTTTTTTCTGCTAATGATAGACTAATGATATTATTTAGACCTTTATTGTAAATGGACTCTTATTCCCTTTCGATCCTCACTTTGCTCATGTCTATAATTAGGTTTCCAAGTCATATTCAGAGGGGAGAACTTCCCTAGAAGAATATGTCTCTTCTTTGAAATCTATCGTTGGACTTGGTGCTCTTGTGGAAGCTGTAGGTATTGGTAAGGGAAAGGAAGATCTTACCAGCCCTGCTGTGGAACATGGGAAGAAAACCCCGGTGTTTTCAATACCAGCTAGCAAAGCTTGGTCTGCTCTTGGTCCCAATGATATAATTAAACATTTGGCTGGAGGAAATCGACTGAGCAAAGCCAAAAGTAATGATCTCTTCAGGGAAGCTGTTTGGCCTCGCTTACTGGCAAGAGGTTGGCACTCAGAGAAACTAGAGAATCAAGGCTCCTCCAAAAAATTTGTGGTCTTTCTTATCCCTGGTATTAAGAAGTTTTCAAGGAGAAAACTTGTGAAAGGTGATCATTACTTTGATTCTGTCAGTGATGTCTTGAGCAAAGTGATAGCTGATCCAAATCTTCTTAAGCTTGAAGATGAAGCAACTAAAGTTGGTGGCTGCAATGAGGAAGAAGCAGAAAAGGAATCCAACGGGGATGTTCAACCTGATAACCATCACCATTGTTTCCTCAAACACCAAGCTTCTACCAGAAATTCAGACCATAGGAAGTGTACAGTTGTTGATACCAGTTTGATGCCCAGGGGGAAGTCATCTGATTTAAGGGAATTGAAATCTTTACCTGATAAATCGGAAGGTAAAGTTGAGGTAGATGCTGATGATTTAGCATACAATAAAGGGAACAAACATGTTAGTAAAACAAACCACAGGAAATGTAAGCTTGATGGCATTTCACCAAGTGGGACAGAAGCTGCTATAATACACAGCAAAAAAAATAGTAGCAATGCTGATTGCAAACACAATGGAAATGCTACTGGCCGAAAAGAAGTGAACGTTAACCCTGATAATAATGATGCAAACAAGATGGCAGAAAACCGTGAAAATCAGAAGACCATTGTGTCTGATGGTAATCAAGCAAAGATAACCATAATGCATCAATGTAGTCAAAAAGCAAGATCACGTAGTCGAAAAGCAAGATCAGGCCATTCAGATCTTGCAGTTCCTCCCTTCAAACGAAGGAGACTCACTGCTTGTGCTAAGGCTGAGTCCAGCCGCATTCTTGAGGATTCCTCAGGAGGGTTAGGATCAGAAAAACCGGGACTCTCTCGGTCATCTTGCTTTCCAGATGCCAATGAGAAAGCCAGTAGTCCACTCAGTCATCAGCAGAATGTGACTTTAACTTCTTCAGCTGAAGGAAGTGTGGAATTGAAAAACAAAGGTAGAATTTTGGATGGAGTCTGTCTTGACAAGGGTATTTCTTGTGACAAAGTAGAGAATTGTGAATCACAACATTCCAAATCCACCAACTTCAATGCATCTCAGGTTCCACTGAAGTCTGAAGATGATGAGTTGATGGCAACGGCGGAGGAAGATGGGCAAGGCCTAAAGCCAAATGATATAATTCCAAGGAGGAAGAGCACAAGAAATAGACCATTGACAGTTAGAGCATTGGAATCTTTGGCAAATGAATTCTTGCATGCACAAAAGAAACCAAAAAGAAAAGACACCCTGATACTTGCAGACTCATTCAGTACATGCTGCCGCAGGGCTCGCACCAAAGGTCTAAAGAATGTTGCATATTCATAGCACAGCTCAAGGGACTCCAGACTCAATAGAAGTACAGCATTTGAATGGAGATTCTAGAGTCATTGATAGTATTAGCAAGCCTTTAGATTATATTAAATCGTAGTGGTCTTTTTTACTAGGAGTTTCCGAAGCTACCTGTCATATAATGAGGTTTTGAGTTTTGGAAACTATTGCTTTTTTTGTCTGACTTTATTTCATTCTGAAGTTAACCAATGCTCATGTACAGATTTTTACCAAATAGGAAATTTGATGAGATTAAAGGTTATTTTGTTTTCTGGTAATTGTAAGTTTCATGAAACGTGCTCAGAGGTACACAACTATCATAATTTAAAAGAACAAGACTTGTTAACTTACATGATAAAGGATTCAACAGATTCTCCCGCGCTGGTTAGCACTTTTATGTAACTTTTACTGATCATATATCAAATTAGAGGCCTGTCGGAAATGGCTTTTGAAAACATCTTCAAGCTCAAATGTTGTACACTCTTTTTGTGGATCATATACCACACTTTCCTTTTTTCGTTATTTTTTTTCTAACAATGTTATTGGTGCAAAAATATTTATCAGCTTTGTCGATCATAGTATTCGTCACAAAACTTGATCACCTTTAAATTTGAGTTACTTAAAGAAATTAAGTTGAGTTCAACTCCAACCAATGATTTGATATAAGGGCGCACGTTAAAATTTTCATTAGCCATTTGGGCCAAACCTGGCTTAACTTGATTTTTGTTCATTTGAATGGTGCATTGGGTCCGAAGTATTTTTGTGTCGGTAGAAACCATGGGCCAGCAAAGTCACTAAACAATGCACACTACTATTTCTCCTTGATGTACTTCCAGTGTAAATATCTTCCTCAGAACCTATTCTACACAATTAATCGTTGGTCTATTCAGACAATTATTTGAGCAATGACCAAGTTTAATTTGTTGCACCCAAAAGTAGAACGTGTATAAGTATTATGTTGGGGCGACACATTAGGTCGAACAAGGGCCAAGTTAATTTCCAACTTGAGTTGGAATTGAAATTTGAAGTGCATGCCTTTTAATAAGGAATGTCTCGAGAATGAGACAACACTACTAATTAGGAAATATATTGTTCAGATTGTTGCTAAACAGATACACCTCAAGGGTCGTAAATAGAATGAATCATATAATAACTAATAAGGAAATTAACTTTAATAAGGGAAAACTCATTACTAGGAGATCTAATCAAAACAGAAACTAAAACTATGAAAGAAATTATCTCATAACAGAATAGAAATTGGTACACATCAATACAATTATTTTTTTAATCCATGAAATGGAAGTAAAGGAATGACACCCGATATTATTATAATGAAACTCTTTTTAATGATGTGTTATCTTGTAGAACTAGTTTGTTTTAAAAAATAAATTTTTACTTGTCCAGAAATGATTTTTTTCCCTCGAATCATGTATTATTTTTTGTTAACAAATAACAAGTAGTAATCTATTATTGGTTTAACTAGTATTTCATTCCGTGCATCACATAAATTAAGTATTTATTTTCTATATAAATGAATTTATGGTAAATAAATATGTTTTAAAACAAAATTTATTATAAACAAATATATAAATTATATTTCAAATTTACAATAAATAATTAAAATGTGATATAATAATCTTGTTATATTAATATTTGTGTTTTTTTTATATAGTATATTGATGTTTGTTATTCATCTCTAAATAATAAAATAGATCGTAACTTATTTATTTTATTTTTTTCAAATGAACATATCTTGTCTCTTTCCTCTTCTTCTTTATTGTGTATGAATTCATCATTATTTTAACTTTTTCCATATTTTTAAGAGTAAATTCCACTCATACCTATTGAAATATACAAAATTATATTGGTCTCGTCTCTTGAATTAAAAATTACACGCCTCTTCCTTGGTTGATTTTAATGTATAACACTTTATACATTTTCAAATAAAAAAATTGTTTGAGTTCTGTTAATTTTCATTACAAAAAAAATTATTACCAAACACCCTTACAATAACATCACAAATATAAATATTACACTGCCATCTCTTCCTATGCTAAAATAAACATTTTCAACCTTTTAAAATATGTTACACTTTAATAATTTATCTCTTGATTTTTATATTTAACTATTATTATTTTAAAAAAAAATTCTAAATTAATTATATATTTAATAAATTTTATCAAGATGATTTTTAATTTTTATACTGATATTTGTTTGTAAGAAATTTTAGTTATTTCCTTAAATTAATTAAAGTAAATTTTTAAATTTACCTTTTTATCTTTAAATTTTAGTTTTCCTTTTCCCTAAACATGATTTATTTATATTTTCCTTATTCATTTTAATTAACTATATTGTTAACTTTAAATGTTTTAATTATATTTTACAGTTTTACCTATATTAGTTAGTATACTTGATTTAAATTTAGTTTGCCTTTTCCATAAACTTGATTTAAATTTTTTAATTAGTATAATGAGTTATATATACTAATTAATTTATAATTTACGTATCACTAATTAATTTTTGTGTGAGAATGTTGAATCTTCAGTTTGAAATACTTATATTTTTTTTCAAGAAAACTGCAATGTGAGATTCCGTGAGGACCATGACCCCTCTGGTCATACAATCTTTCTTGGCCCAAAAGATGTTTTTTTTTACAGGTTTGGATTTAAGAAATCCGTCTCCTATCTTTTTTCTATTCTAGGATATAAAATTACTTTAATATTATTTTCTTTAATTCATTTTTTCTCAAATAATCTTTTACTCCTTTTTCTTTACGGAAATATTTTACTCCTTTATTCCTTTGTACATTCTCTTTTGAAATTACTTGCCAAAATAACCATGTTCTATTCTATAAAGTATTTTTTTTAATTATGTTAGTTCCAAAAAAAAGTACTTTCTATAATGACATGTTTGTTCAAGAAAGTAATTTTTTGTAACATTAAAAAAAATTAATCGTAATTACATAAACATTTGTATCATTAAAAAAAACAATGATTTCTTGAAGAAAATGCTTGATTTTTTCCCTCTTTATGCAACTAATCACTAAACAACTCAATCATATTATATAAAAGTTGTATTAAATAAATCAAAAAGTGTCATCGATAAAATCATAATATAATACATTAATTCGTATCATATATACGATGGCATTAAATTTGTAAAATTTTACTATTTTTTATAGAGAAAAAAAATAGGGAAGAAATGTAAAGGAGGGGGTCAGATTGTGACAACAGAAAATGGAACAACGGAAGAAAATAGAGTAAAAAAAGATGAGAAGGGAGAATAAAAAAAAAAGTTTTGACGAAAAAATTATTTTAAAAAAATTAATAAATTTGAAGGTATTTAACATTTTTGTAAAATAAAATGGAAGTATATTTATTAATAAAAAAATATGTAAATATCAAAATAAATTAGGAATATAGTTTGAGGTAAATCTAACAAAATAGACAATATGACAGAGTTAGCCCAATAAATTTTTTTTAATGATTTGTATTCATATTTTTTATATATAGACTACTCTATTCTTATAGTATTTTACTCCTACAAATGAGGGGTTAAATAAGTCAATTTATCAATTACAAACAAAATTAAGGAAGCCATAATTATACAATATTTTATACATATATGCAAACCTATAATTTAGCTAATTAGATAATGTCACGCATAATTTTATTATCACAATCCAACTAAATAGGACATGTATGTGATACTCTAAATTTCAGAGAAATAGTCTAAGCCACAAACCTTCACAAAGTCCAAGAACCATTCTTTCGATTCTCATCCATGTGTGTTTCACTTGGATCATGCATGAATCGACTAATCACATTAAGAGCATAAGATAAATCTAGTTTGGTGAATGCGAAATACATTAATCTTTCTACAAGTCTCTAGTATCTTTCCTTGTTAGTTGAAGTTTGATCTTCTTCAACACACAATTTCAATGTCCCTTCTATTGGAGAATTTGTTGGTTTACATGTTGTTGTCAAAATGACATGGTCATAATAATTTTATTCCACTATATTGCGGAACCAAAATTACACATGTAAATATAAGGATTGAAAAGTGGATTTAAGGGTATAATTAAATTTGAATATATGAGAAAAAAATAGTTTTGTATAATTAATTAATTTAGCAAAGAGTGAGTGAGGGTAGTAGTAGTAGAAGAAGTGGAATTGATCAAAGGAAAAAGGAAAAAATGCATTCATATGGATACAGAGCGAATGCTGTGTTAACCTTCAGCTTAACCCTTCTTGCCGTTATGTGCGCCATGGCTTCTCTCTCCGACAACCGCAATTCCCCCTCTCCCTCTGCCCATGTTCAGGTCTCTTTCTCTCTCCCTTTCTCAGATCTCTAATTCTTAACGTAACATCATTTCATCGTCTCTCTCTCTATGTAGGTCTTGAACATTAATTGGTTTCAGAAGCATCCCAATGGCGGCGACGAGGTAATTCTAATAAAAGTTACATTTTTTTATGTTTTATAATTGCAAGCTCTTGGGATTCAGAATTGGGCTCCCTGTGGGATAAAATTTAATATATTATATATTAAAAAAATGCAATTTGAGCATTCATAGACATTGTCGGAAAATCACGTGGAAAAGCATGCTTTCATTGATAAACTTTTCTTTCCTTGAAGGG